TCAGCAGCCCATGTGTCTATTTCATGGATGCAATCGCCTGAAAGGCCGGTCTCGGGAGTCCATCGGTAATATTCTGAAGTTTCTGAAGGACAAACTTAATTCCTTAGTTCTGGATAAACTTAAGTAAAAAGAACAATTGCTGGGGAGAGGTCTGATAAAAGCAACATCCTGTTACACGGTACGGAACCAGTATCGTAAATCTGCACCTTTTCACGTGCACGGTCACAGCAGAGGCCGCTTGCGACGGTTCGGGAACAGCGTCTCCTGTTCCCATCCCGCTTTTTCTAGAGACCTGTCCAAGAAGGTAACAGTGCTACAATCGTGATCCGCCCTGGGGCAACAAAGCCACCGTGAATCTGCACCGGCAACACAGGAACACAGCGTTCATTTTTATAAACATTTTTGACCTAAGCAGCGTTATCTATTTGCCCTTCTCGGCTTTTGAGGAAGCGGGAGCGAGAGGACAGGCACGAATAAAGAAAACGCAGAATTTCTCCGCTGACTGCCTTAAACACAGAAACCCACGTATCGGTGGATTCTTTGAGAAATCAGACTTGGACACACAACTGCTGAAGCATCTGCGTTCGGCAGATTTCACTGCCCGCAGCGCAGGCAGCACCAGAGGGCGGCTCTGGCTCCTGCCCCCTGCGACACCCCCCCCGTGGGTAAGGCCTGCAAACCTCTCCCTGGCAGGGAAACTCTTTAATAAGAGGAGCAAAAAATTTTCAGCTTGCTATTTTGAAAATTACAGCTCTTTATCATACAAATTAAATGTCTGCCTGCATTTTAAATGAAGCTATGCATCCAGCTGTAAACTGCCATCAGGTTCTGCTCTGCTCTGGACTGGGCAGAATAAAATTACTTCAGATTGGTTGAAATCAATATTGTTTTTTTACTCCTCTGAGTCTAAGCACCAGAATGCTCTCTGTAACAAAAGAATGCAATAGGGGATTTAACGAAATAAGGTCGTCCAAGATTGCAGCGCCCTTGTCTATTATTTTTAATTAAAGCCTTGGGGAAAATGTTGGGGAATTGCATTATACCTTGAGAGCTGACTCCTCATTTCTGATGTAGAGTTAATGCTAACCAAGCCATGGAAACAGATCACCTCGGTTCTCTACCCCCTTTCTGTAAGAGAGGGATAATAAATAGGGTTCCTTGCTTACTTCCCAGCCATCTTAAGATTTAATTATTTCTCTAAACTGCTGTGTAATACTAAATACTAACTACACAGTATTTTTCATAATTGATTTGTCAGCATACATACTGTACATACAATTTGGTCTAAGGAAAGTGTCCAACGCTCCTACAGAGCCAAATAAACGTCATTACGTTAGCAGGTATCTTATCGGTGACGCCGTATGGATGCGTTTCCTTCAGGGCCAGGACTGAATCGTTTGTGTTCTTTTGTTTATGAACAGGGTGAGGCACAACGGGTCTGTTAACATGCCAAAGTCCTTTGTGTAGTTTTCTCTGCATCATTTGACTACTTGCATATACTTCATGCCATATATATGAAATCATGCTTTATTTTGGGTCGTAGCTATTTATATTCATTGGAGGAAGAGGAACGTGGAAAAAGAACAGGTTCTTTCTGGGCATCTGATTCACAGAAGCTCACAACTTCTTTTAATGGATCATGACATTTTCCTGACCTGTACAGAGCCCTGCAGGCAGCAAGCTCTACCTATTTTATTGCACAGATTTAAGTCCTTCTGCTATCAGCACGGTGCTCTCAGGACACAGCTGCCCTGTCCTGGAGCGGTTGCTCATTCACACTGTGTTTGCATGTGCAATAAGAAAATAGCTCTGGGTTTGATTTGGTCCCTCCTTTAAAGCAGGCTGAGAACTAAGTGCAGCTTGACAAAACCAGCATGAATCTGGCTCTGTTTAAATGGCAGCACCATCCAGCACGACACCAGTTAACACTTCCAGAAGCGCTTGCGCTAAGTCCTGCACTCAGCTCTGCGATCACCGGCCGTTGCAATGCTCAGGCAGCGGCTGGGGCTGGGGCTTCTGCTCCAAATGTGCTGCGTTCGCATCTCT